GCAAATACATAAACTTGGAATGAGGCAATACTGGCAGCGTTACGAGAGCTCATATTCTGACTTTTGAAATTAAAATCATTTACTTCTGATCTCGTTCAGATCGACTAAGCTGCTTAGAAAAATAACCGTCCTGTTCTAATAGCAAAAAAAGTCAGAAGTCAAGACTTTCTGCTTAAACGTTTTTTATGAGAGGGCGAAGCCACACCAAAAATAGTCGAGAGATGGCAAATCCCAAGAGCAGTCTCCGCCAGGGCTGCTTGCAAGCAAACTGATGGCCAATTTGACTCTCTGGCATGTGCTGGTACCAGTTTACCATCGAAGCAAATGAACGAATCGTACAGGGATCGATTGTTTCGCCGGCACATTTATACAGTACTGTAAAACACAGGAACATAAATATTCAAAAATTTTGCGAAATACTGTTAGGAAGGAACGCGTAGCATGTGTTAACGGTAGAAATCCGAAGAACAATTGGTGCGCTCCCACCAGTGTAACAATTGCGCAGTATTAGCCGCCTAATTAGTTGTGGGCAGAGTTGTACTTTAGGTCAGGTCAGGAGGGGTCGTTGCCACCTTTCTTATCCGAAAAAATCAGATTACAGGTAATATGTCAACAATGCTCGTGTAATGGCAACTGATCAAGTAACCACCCAGTGTTGCTCGTGTAATGCTCGAGCAAAGCACAATTACCAGTGGTGCCCGCCCACTTATACAAGTAACAATCGTTCCTAAGTGCAGTACTTGAACACTTTCCGCAGATTACTTGTACTGATGAGCCGCTGTGTCAACAAGCTCAAGTAACATCCAGAAAATTTTCGCGTAACATAGCCCGATCGCTCGTGTAACCGTCGGGCAGCAAGAGATAGGGTTGGAGCGTTGAGTCTAGCGACAACAACCGCTCATCGCGTGGTGAGACGGTTGATTCATCGCATCCTCTGCTGTCGACGGTCGATAGCAAAGTGGGACTTCTGAGAGCGAAGAGGGGGAAAGGAGCAGGGAGGTTGGTTCGTTTTGTGGTACGGTTAATGGTGTGATGTTGGTCATGCGTTGGTGAAGTTAGTTGTGCGTTGGTGTGATTGGTCGTGCGTTGGTGGTGGGATCGCTTTTTTATGTGGGGAGGGGAAAGGAGGCACATGTTTTGTGTGGAGAAAGCAAGGGGAAGGAAAGGGGAGGGGTGTTGTTGGATAAACAATTACATTGCTTCCTGAGAAAGGAAGGGAATGGGAGGACATGGATCTCAGTACATGAAGAAGACGAAATTTCCCTCCATTCCCACTAGCGTCGTGGATAGTATTATCGGTTTGTCCTTGCTGGTCTTTGTAATTGAAGTGTTCCCTTCAGTGAACTAACTCAAATTTTTCGGCTAATAGCTTATATTTGCAGCACATCTTCATACAGGATTTAGACTGTCAGGAGACATACGAGTTCCTTTAACAGCGGGTCAAAAAATATTCAATGAATCATTGGTAAACTTAGCATTTGAATACGCTCGACAGAACTGGTAAGTTGAAATCCCCACAGCGTTCCGAATGCTCCGGTCCTTATGCAAAATAGTTTTCCTCAGTTTTCGAGGGGTTACCTTATAGAACAGTTCTATGTCTCATGAAGTATTTTTCAGTATGTCCTGTCGGAAGAAACAGGACAGCACGGGAAACGTGTATGTCGCATTTCTTCGTATTTACCTCTCTTCTCTTCACTGTACTATTCCCAAAGATGCTGCGGTTTAACTCGGCAACGGTAAATGATGAACATTATTCTAGCAATCGTTGGCCAAGCGGTGCGGCTGCATAGCGATGGACAAAGGGTTGGCGGAATATGGAGCATG